TCTGAAACTGTCTCGAACCTCAGCAACACTGATGATCATGACCCGTCAGACTATCCCAAAGTTGTTAATTATCTATGGGGAAGGGAACAATCAACTCTTACAGGGAGAATTTGACACCGTAAAGGGTATGCGTGTACAGTACATATTAACTCCTGGGACTTTCGCACGACACTAACCTTTCAAAGTTTCCAGGTCACTGGCCTATTCTGTAGAGCGTACTTGGTGTAGCCGCAGACATGTCAAGTTTACAGGTGAGATTTGTTTACCTCTCAATAAAAGCAGGTTCAACGAAATGCGCCTGTTTTTACGTAATGTGTTATAACACAGCCCAGGTAGGGTACAGTAGTATAAGAAATAATGTAGGCATCGAAACTTCTACTAAAGTATAGTCGGATGAGAATGGCCGGATTCATTTCCGTGTAAGACTGACAAACGTTGGTGACGGATTTTTTTTATTGTACAAGTGCTTTGTTGTTTAATCTCCATTTTCGGTAGTACACTAGTAAAAATGATTATACGTTGTTCATGTGTTTGTACATATATATGGTACATACACGTACAAAAGATGAAGCTGTATGCTTTGGAGTGTTGACATATAGGAGTTGTGTCTGTTTTATAATTAAAGGTAGATAACAAGGTGCATGCATGTATTGTGTGTAAAATATTACGAGGTACATGTGCTTTGTGTTAATATTACGAGGTACATATGGTGTGTGTAAAATATTACTAGGTACATGTGGTGTGTGTAAAATATTACTAGGTACATGTGATGTGTGTAAAATATTACGAGGTGCATGTGCTGTGTGTAAAATATTACGAGGTACATGTGCTGTGTGTAAATATTACGAGGTACATGTGCTGTGTGTAAAATATTACGAGGTACATGTGATGTGTGTAAAATATTACGAGGTACATGTGCTGTGTGTAAAATATTACTAGATACATGTGCAGTGTGTAAAATAGTACGAGGTACATGTTGGCTGTGTAAAATATTACGAGGTACATGTGTTGTGTGTAAAATATTACGAGGTACATGTGATGTGTGTAAAATATTACGAGGTACATGTGCTGTGTGTAAAACGTTACGAGGTACAGGTGCTGTGTGTAAAATGTTACGAGATACATGTGGTGTGTGTAAAATGTTACGAGGTACAGGTGCTGTGTGTAAAATGTTATGAGGTACAAGTGCTGTGTGTAAAATATTACGAGGTACAGGTGCTGTGTGTAAAATGTTATGAGGTACATGTGGTGTGTGTAAAATAGTACGAGGTACATGTACTGTGTGTAAAATATTACGAGGTACTTGTGGTGTGTGTAAAATATTACGAGGTACTTGTGGTGTGTGTAAAATATTACGAGGTACGTACTGTGTGTAAAATATTACGAGGTACATGTGGTGTGTGTAAAATATTACGAGGTACAGGTGCTGTGTGTAAAATATTACATTATGAGCTACGTGTCTGGTTTGCCTGTTAGTTTATGATCATATGAACTTGTAATCCATTAAGATTTTAAATTATAAAGTATACAGAAAAAAACATCAAACGGAATTCCATGCATTATTCCAGGACCATCATACACGAGAATGATAAATATTCATGATCAATAGTGTAGTTTGGTAGTGACCCGTTATGGCAGGATTCAGAACTCATTTCGCCATTGTTGACACAACCTCAAAACACGGGGTTATATTTAGGGACGGTATTAGAGGACTCCAGTACTACTGTGACATACAGGTATTACAACATAACCACGTGTAGACGACGATCAAAACATAACGGAACGTTACTCCTTAAATATCAACAAATTCGACGATTTAAATCGTTCTATTTACCGATTTTGAAGTTAACCAAACTTCGAGATTGCATCTGCCTAGGTGCGCGTGACATATGTCATATACCGAACCCTGTCACACCGGCCTTCCGCGTACGTGACTAATTATAAGGGCAACACTAACATCACCTGACCCGACCCCTCATGGATGGACGTCCTTATCCCACAGTGATAATATCTGATATTATTGACGTATGGTCTGCCCTGTTAAATGTCAACACTCTGTAAGTCTAGTTACACTGCATCATATTATATAAATATCACATTCATGAGAGGGCGATATTTATTTTATTATACCGAGTGTCATGTTTAGGTGTTTCACCACTTCACCATTTTTAAAGGTCCTTGTGTTGATTTGACATAAACCAAGACTTCATCTCAACAGTTGTCGAATGAACCAACAATGAATGTGATTTGATCACACCCTGGCACTGGGACGAACCGTGCACGCATACGTTTGGCGCATGTGATATTTTTTGGAATGTCACCCTGTCTTCTTTATCTTTGTAAAACTAGCAAGTAACATTGAAAATGCTCACATCTCTCTCAACCAATCAGATTACGAGATTTTAACAGAAGGTATAATAAAGCTATATATATACACAACGTTCAATATTTAAGCATTAAACTGTTTTTGTATGGTATTTATGATCTATTTGAATGACACAGCTTTGCAAGCAAACAACATAATGCTAGCTAACTTATGATTTATATTCAAAATTAAAAATGCCCGCCTTATCGACAGTCTTCACAATTTCGTTCAATAGTTTGAACAGCGTATTGTCGCGTGCTGATTGGCAAACAAAGTAGTACTTTGAATTTTTAACAAACACTTCAATTTTATTCCACAATTCAGTATCAATACAATTGCGTATGATATGTCTATAGGGGGATTTAGGTTTATCAATAGAAGTCTGAGCTGAAAGTTAGATTTAAAATTGTTTCGATTTTTCCCCGTAACAAATTTCGCGCATGGATAAATACAGTGAACACCGTAAATCTGACCTTGCCATCCACGAGGGAGTTATTTTTGGAAGTTAATTTGAACTTTTCACTTTGTTTATTATGTGAAGAATCCAGACGTGAATTTATTTGTTGATTGTATGTGAATCTGACTACAGTCGGTAGATTCTATAACAGCCTCGTTATTTGACATGTCGTCAGCAACTTAGGAAACCGTGGCTGCGAGACGCGTGAAACTGATAGCGTTTGAAGTGAGTGATCTTGCGACGGAGCACAGGGGTTCGTTACAAATGTCTGAAATGTTTATGTACTGTGACTCATATCAGTAGGTCTGTAACATATTTGTCAGTAGGTCTATAGAATATATGTGTATTTCAGACATTTGTAACGAGCCCCTGTTGATCAGTGCAGTTTAACAGACGATTTTTCTGATAAATTGCATGAGCGTTAAAATGGTTTCCATTGCCGGCATCGGCGATTCTAACATTTTGTACGATTTTGCAGACCTTGGTATTGTTTTTGTTGTATTAAAAGTATTTTTTATTTCATTTTATATTTTGCATATAAATTTACAAAAGTCTACTATTGGCATAAATTAGAAAGTCTACTATTGGCATAAATAAGAAAGTCTACTATTGGCATAAATAAGAAAGTCCCTTGAACCATAGTACACTTGAAGTATACTTGACTGGTGCCGTTGATGCACATATGTACATGTAACAGTTGTTAACAACCTCTTGTGTCTTCCAACGTCTAATGTGCAATACTGGTTCTGGGTCATGCCCCATTATCATGACTGCATTAACAAATGTAAAACCACAATCTTTCAATTCAACGAGAGAAATGATTCGGAATACATGCGTTGTATGGCTTTATAGAGGAAGTAAAAACTAGACCAGTAACATATACCAGGGGTGCCGTTATGGCCAGGTACGCTCTCAGAGCTGACACTGGATCTGTTTGTGGACCATCTGAAGGTGGTACACGGACTTTAAATCCAGACCTACTTGTGTCAATATTAATTCACGAAAAAAATAATAGATATTGACCTGTCATATCATTCTCGAACAAGAAAGCAACACAAGAATTTAGCAAGGGGTCCAACTGAAAAGCCCTGGTTGCTAAGTCTGATGAGTGTGTCATGGAAGTCGATGTGGGTAATGGCACAGTTTTCAACCTTAGGTTCTTAAGAGATAAGTGATCATTTTCATCCCAATATTGAAACAACTTTACAAATTGACAATAGGCATGCCACTGGTGAGTGTGTTTGGTTTGACAGGTGTAGGTTGTACTAGCGCCGTACACGGTCTCTCTATTTCACTATTATGAACAAGAACTGAATCATATAAACAAGACAAGTCAGTAGATGCCATTTTACGCTGGGATGTCGGCCGCTCACTATTGTCACAGATGTAGCACAGGAACCATGCAAACACATCAGATTGCCATGCACCTGGCAGAAACGAAATAGTCTTTTCAACACAAAAGTAGTTAAACTGTTTAACGTATCTTTCAAATTGATTTATCGTAGACCTAGCCCAACTTAGCATGCACTTCTCTCTCGCTCTAACTGGCCAACCTAAAGCATCCAGTGTCTATGACCAGACAGTCTTCCATTTCACATTTTTCTGGGCTCGGCTATTTTTCCAAAAAACATGAATGTCTTTGCACTGTTTGGAATACGAATCGGAGGTGCGACTGCTAGCCGATTTAGTAGCTGAAACCATGGTTTCGCCTCCCATCATTCTGGGAGTATAGTTGTTTCTACCTTTTGGTTGATGATCCCATTCAGAATATGGGAATTAATATAAGCAGTTGTAGCATTATGATATCGTTTGACTATTAGAATATTCCCTACTTTGAGGGTGTGACAGAGAAATCTCCAACCCGAGGGATGATGTGTTTTGGTTGTCTAACCCGAGGCTCTGATATTTCTGTTACACCCTGATTATATTTCTCCCATCCTAATATTCAGTCGCAACTCCACCGACAGTAGTGTAAACAAAAACACATGTGGGGTATGAATATCGTCATTCACTTTTGACGACGCCACAATTACCGCTGACACATTTTTATGACGTCAAAATTGAACACGTGCTAATAGGCACGAGGCTATCTCCCCCTAGGGGTGACAATCTGATCTTTCCCGGCTAAAACGGGAGAAAACCTGTGAAGGGTGGGCTAATACAGATATCACTCTTTACCTGTCCGTCGTCAATTCGTCTCCATGTCCTATCTATGGCATCCCTAGGGTTAACACTCCCATAACCCATGAAGAAACATAAAAGTCACGTATCCAATAATTTTCCAATGTCTTTCGATCATGGCTCACTGGTTATAAAGTTAATGTAATTCCCTGGGCTAAAAGTCCCATACTCCGAGTCCTGACAGATAATTTGTCACGAATTATTTCTGGTATGGTAACGTTTTCCGGTCACAACTGACATGGTCATAAATGTAGACCGTATCAGAGATGTCTACATATATACTAGCGGAAACCCCGGTCAATCAAAGTTAACCACTTCAGTCTGGTAATGCTGGTCTTGTTACGATATATTATGAGTAGGATATCATTGTACATTTTACACAAATCTTCAGCAGATACATGTGTATCCATTGTATGGTATACGTGTCATCGCTAAACACACTGCCGGATCCCTTCTCACACTCAATACATCATACGTATAATAATACTATTTGTCGAACAGCCTTTCTCAAGTCCGAAAAATTGACCGGTAAGGAGGGGCTGGATCTATCGATTCTTCACTCTACCCATACGTACTTGTGTACCCAGGGAGGTATGAAGTACTTTCGCGAAATGCCACTAGTTTACATTCTTGACAATGTCACAGAGTTCTTACCTGATAAGCGCCCGTTTTATACAGTTACAATACATATACAGAATATAATTGTTCAGCTTTCCATTTGGTCGCCCGCCTCATATGGACCGTGACTTATATAATTACCAGGTATGTAATACATACAAAATGCGTCATATGTTCAGAAAGAAAAACGTGATTTAACATGACATGCGTCAACTTCCATTGTCAGAGAGTGGCAAACCTATCTTTGAATGGTTATATAGATCGGACTACGTCGACTTACATGTTAATGACACAGGGACGACAGCTGGTGTAGGACCGATCTGTGGCCAGGAGTCAATGTATAGTGGAGGAGACGTTATTACTTTGCTGCTGAGACAGGAAGAAGGGAGGAGATCGGGGAAGTGACGATGCCATCCGTACCCCAACGTTCCAATACCTCGACATTTGTTTTAACATTAGAATAAACTTATTAAAAATGTAACCCACCAGCGAACTAAAACACGTGTCTTTTTATATCTACACACAATTACTAGTTATGTACATACCACGTCAAACACGGGAGGGGTCCCTGACACCTGTTCTCGCAACATGTAGAGGAGTTTAATTGTACGGCTGATATGTCCATCACTTCACGTTAGATATCACTTCTCCTTCATACGGGGTGATCACACGGATGTGACCAGTCGCTACTCGGTCGTATCTTACACCTGTTTTGTATGAATGAATGACGTCAGTCTGTACACAGATTGGTGCCCTCCAGGTTAGCTATTACAGAGATATTTATCGTATATATATATATTGTATTTCAGTATATATCCCCTGCGTGGGTTTAGTGATTTATTGTCACTTGAGCGATCTTTGATAATTAGTTTGAATGTTATTTGTTTACGCTATCTTTATATACGTATATTAAACAAGAGACCCAAAGGGCCTGACTCGCTGACCTCCTATGAAGTGGTTAGGTAATGGCAAAATTAAACTTTAGTGATTTTAAGGTGAGTCGACAAGTCAATGCGCTATTATCCTTCAGAAACCTACAGACCGAATACCACACCTCTAGGTCTTATAAATGTGATATAAAATCCGAACGTCTTCTGTATATTTGATTAAACAACCGCATGTGTACCAGCCCAGGTAAATACAGATGCACATATACATGCACCTAACCTCAGGTGTCACCAGACAACCACAGGTGAACTCACAGGTAAAATACACGCAAACGTAGACTGAATTTAACCATCCTCATCATCATAACATTTAGAGATTTTCTTTTCAGAATTATAGTCAATTTCACACATGTTTACCTGTTTCTACTTGGTATTCCGATTAAGCTTAATAGGCCTTTAAATTGTTCAGCATATTAACTCTTGTGGCACTGAATGAACTAACAAAATGCATGATAGATAGCATGACGCAAGGCATCATAGAACATTATAGAATACGTATTGTTTGTAGTTACCTCACGTGACCCTAAATGCGGGCCCAGGTAATATATCATAACAAACTGCATTACCTGCACGTGAAGGCCAAATACTGACTCTGTGCCCAACGAATCGTCTTCATAAATTAACATATCTTACATACGTAACACACTTGACATGCGTAACGCAGGTGACCTGTGTGACATTGAATGCACGTCAAGATCATTAGCACAGTGTGTTTAGATATAAGAACACACCCTCCATTAGCACAGTGTGTTTTAGATATAAGAACACACCCTCCATTAGCACAGTGTGTTTTAGATATAAGAACACACCCTCCATTGGCACAGTATGTTTAGATATAAGAACACACCCTCCATTAGCACAGTGTGTTTTAGATATAAGAACACACCATCCATTAGCACAATGCGTTTAGATATAAGAACACACCATCCATTAGCGCAGTGCGTTTAGATATAAGAACACACCCTCCATTAGTACAGTGTGTTTAGATATAAGAACACCCCATCCATTAGCACAGTGTTTTTAGATATAAGAACACACCATCCCTTAGCACAGTGCGTTTAGATATAAGAACACACCCTCCATTAGAACAGTGTGTTTTAGATATAAGAACACGCCCTCCATTAGCACAGTGTGTTTAGATATAAAAACACACCATCCATTAGCACAGTGTGTTTAGATATAAGAACACACCATCCATTAGCACAGTGCGTTTAGATATAAGAACACACCCTCCATTAGCACATTGTGTTTTAGATATAAGAACACACCCTCCATTAGCACAGTGTGTTTAGATATAAGAACACACCATCCATTAGCACAGTGTGTTTAGATATAAGAACACACCCTCCATTAGCACATTGTGTTTTAGATATAAGAACACACCCTCCATTAGCACAGTGTGTTTTAGATATAAGAACACACCCTCCATTAGCACAGTGTGTTTTAGATATAAGAACACACCCTCCATTAGCACAGTGTGTTTTAGATATAAGAACACACCCTCCATTAGCACAGTGTGTTTTAGATATAAGAACACACCCTCCATTAGCACAGTGTGTTTTAGATATAAGAACACACCCTCCATTAGCACAGTGTGTTTTAGATATAAGAACACACCCTCCATTAGCACAGTGTGTTTTAGATATAAGAACACACCCTCCATTAGCACAGTGTGTTTTAGATATAAGAACACACCCTCCATTAGCACAGTGTGTTTTAGATATAAGAACACACCCTCCATTAGCACAGTGTGTTTTAGATATAAGAACACACCCTCCATTAGCACAGTGTGTTTTAGATATAAGAACACACCCTCCATTAGCACAGTGTGTTTTAGATATAAGAACACACCCTCCATTAGCACAGTGTGTTTTAGATATAAGAACACACCCTCCATTAGCACAGTGTGTTTTAGATATAAGAACACACCCTCCATTAGCACAGTGTGTTTTAGATATAAGAACACACCCTCCATTAGCACAGTGTGTTTTAGATATAAGAACACACCCTCCATTAGCACAGTGTGTTTTAGATATAAGAACACACCCTCCATTAGCACAGTGTGTTTTAGATATAAGAACACACCCTCCATTAGCACAGTGTGTTTTAGATATAAGAACACACCCTCCATTAGCACAGTGTGTTTTAGATATAAGAACACACCCTCCATTAGCACAGTGTGTTTTAGATATAAGAACACACCCTCCATTAGCACAGTGTGTTTTAGATATAAGAACACACCCTCCATTAGCACAGTGTGTTTTAGATATAAGAACACACCCTCCATTAGCACAGTGTGTTTAGATATAAGAACACACCCTCCATTAGCACAGTGTGTTTTAGATATAAGAACACACCCTCCATTAGCACAGTGTGTTTAGATATAAGAACACACCCTCCATTAGCACAGTGTGTTTTAGATATAAGAACACACCCTCCATTAGCACAGTGTGTTTAGATATAAGAACACACCCTCCATTAGCACAGTGTGTTTTAGATATAAGAACACACCCTCCATTAGCACAGTGTGTTTAGATATAAGAACACACCATCCATTAGCACAGTGTGTTTTAGATATAAGAACACACCCTCCATTAGCACAGTGTGTTTAGATATAAGAACACACCCTCCATTAGCACAGTGTGTTTAGATATAAGAACACACCCTCCATTAGCGCATTGTGTTTAGATATAAGAACACACCCTCCTTTATGCTATTGAATGAAGTCAATCTTTTAAAACAAAGTTGGTTGTTCAACATCTCAGCAAAATATAGACAAAATATCTTACTGTATAGGATAAAAGGGTGAATGGGAGAGGACGCTGTTAAACGAACTTACCAGTTACAAGTTATAAATATTGTAACAATATTAAACTACAGGGCCACAGGCACATCGTGCCATGGGAGGTAAACAGGGGAGGTAAACCGGACCTGTTCGTTTATGCGTAACAACCGGTCAGTCCGTTTTTAAATCAAACATTTTCGGGTATAAATCATTGCAGACATGCACATTTTTGTGCAGGCCTTGTACGGCTTTGTCAAGGCTTGCCTGAACATAAAATGTTTGGATCGAGAAAAACTAAAACGGCCATGGATGGTTACATTACAACCATACGTACATCAACACGTGATTATTTAACAAGCATATATATGCGTTATCATTTGTCGTTTCTGTATCAAGACAACAAAATAAGTAATATATAACGCCACGTACGTCACACCGTGGTCGTTGCATCTGTGTTGGTGAATGTTGAAATGGAACAGAAAAATGGTTATATTGTCTTACTTCTGTTGTATAACAGTTGAACGCAATACATCTTTCAAATTAATCTCGACTGCATCATACAACATGTATATGTGTATCTCACGTTGAATAACAAGCTGCTATCACTTGCTCATCTAGATTTGCCTTATAATAAATCTCCATATATAATTACATGTATAGTAACTGTGACGTCATAAGAAACATTACAATTGCATAGTTAATTAAAAACAAGAAGCCCACTCACATGGATATTTAACCAACGATTGCAAAATATTCTCGTTAAAAACAGTTTTGCAAATAAGATCAAAGGAATAGGGCCAGACCAATGGCGCAATCCTGTATTTCTGATAAACACCCGGATCAATTCTTGTAACATGTTTGTGGTCAATTGTGTGCCAAGAATTTCAAGCATTTGTAAATCTGATTAAGGGGATGGGAGACGTCACG